GTGTTCTATTTAAGGCCCTGCCGGAACAAGGTCTGGGTACCCTGCCAGATCCACCTATTGTTCCATGGTATGATCTCTATTTACATCTGGATGAAAAATCATAAATTTTGAGCCGTCTAACGATACCAGTACATGAAGTTTAGGAAGTGTCCTTTTTATGCCCTACCGAAACCGGTTCCGGGTATCCGGATGTGGCCAAATTCTGTTTACGGTCTATGTCAAGATGTTTATTTACTTTCGGATGAAAAATGATTATTTTTTAAAAAACCCGAAAACTTACCCATTGTGCGCCGGCTTTTAATCCCTGAGCTGACAGGTTACAGGTGCGATTTTACTTATTTATCGTGCCTCCATTTTTTATTGATCATTTCAACTTAAGTATTGGAACATCTGCCTGTTTTTATGGGGTTTATTTTGAAATGTTAAAAAATTGACATAAGAACATTTCCCCCTTTAGAAATATCTATAAGATGTCACTCCATAGGTTTGATATCGTGTTATAGAAAATGGTCTACAAAAAACTTTAATAAGATACCTATTTAGTTTTGAAAAATTCTCGCTGTTTATATATTTATATATTATACTAGCTGAGTGTGCCCGGTCTTGCTCGGGATTCAATATTAGCTTGAGTTTATGCGCCAATTAAAAAAAAAAGCATGCTATATTGTACGTAGCCCCCCCCCCCTAGTATCTAAGGGGCTACCCCCTATGATTATCTCCTTATACCCCCACACTCGCCCCCAAATGCGTATTTGGTTCCATTTGCTTGATTAGTTCTCGAGTTATGCAGAAATTTCTGTTTCATTTGTATGGGAGCCCCCCTTACAGAAGGGGGAGGGGTCTCGAACCATCATAAGAACCTTCAACGGCCCCAAAAACCCATGTATACAAATTTTTACGCCAATCGGTTCAGTAGTTTCCGAGTCTATAAGGGTCAGACAGACAGACAGACAGACAGACAGACAGACAGACAGACAGACAGACAGACAGACAGACAGACAGACAGACAGACAGACAGACAGACAGACAGACAGACAGACAGACAGACAGACAGACAGACAGACAGACAGACAGACAGACAGACAGACAGACAGACAGACAGACAGACAGACAGACAGACAGACAGACAGACAGACAGACAGACAGACAGACAGACAGACAGACAGACAGACAGACAGACAGACAGACAGACAGACAGACAGACAGACAGACAGACAGACAGACAGACAGACAGACAGACAGACAGACAGACAGACAGACAGACAGACAGACAGACAGACAGACAGACAGACAGACAGACAGACAGACAGACAGACAGACAGACAGACAGACAGACAGACAGACAGACAGACAGACAGACAGACAGACAGACAGACAGACAGACAGACAGACAGACAGACAGACAGACAGACAGACAGACAGACAGACAGACAGACAGACAGACAGACAGACAGACAGACAGACAGACAGACAGACAGACAGACAGACAGACAGACAGACAGACAGACAGACAGACAGACAGACAGACAGACAGACAGACAGACAGACAGACAGACAGACAGACAGACAGACAGACAGACAGACAGACAGACAGACAGACAGACAGACAGACAGACAGACAGACAGACAGACAGACAGACAGACAGACAGACAGACAGACAGACAGACAGACAGACAGACAGACAGACAGACAGACAGACAGACAGACAGACAGACAGACAGACAGACAGACAGACAGACAGACAGACAGACAGACAGACAGACAGACAGACAGACAGACAGACAGACAGACAGACAGACAGACAGACAGACAGACAGACAGACAGACAGACAGACAGACAGACAGACAGACAGACAGACAGACAGACAGACAGACAGACAGACAGACAGACAGACAGACAGACAGACAGACAGACAGACAGACAGACAGACAGACAGACAGACAGACAGACAGACAGACAGACAGACAGACAGACAGACAGACAGACAGACAGACAGACAGACAGACAGACAGACAGACAGACAGACAGACAGACAGACAGACAGACAGACAGACAGACAGACAGACAGACAGACAGACAGACAGACAGACAGACAGACAGACAGACAGACAGACAGACAGACAGACAGACAGACAGACAGACAGACAGACAGACAGACAGACAGACAGACAGACAGACAGACAGACAGACAGACAGACAGACAGACAGACAGACAGACAGACAGACAGACAGACAGACAGACAGACAGACAGACAGACAGACAGACAGACAGACAGACAGACAGACAGACAGACAGACAGACAGACAGACAGACAGACAGACAGACAGACAGACAGACAGACAGACAGACAGACAGACAGACAGACAGACAGACAGACAGACAGACAGACAGACAGACAGACAGACAGACAGACAGACAGACAGACAGACAGACAGACAGACAGACAGACAGACAGACAGACAGACAGACAGACAGACAGACAGACAGACAGACAGACAGACAGACAGACAGACAGACAGACAGACAGACAGACAGACAGACAGACAGACAGACAGACAGACAGACAGACAGACAGACAGACAGACAGACAGACAGACAGACAGACAGACAGACAGACAGACAGACAGACAGACAGACAGACAGACAGACAGACAGACAGACAGACAGACAGACAGACAGACAGACAGACAGACAGACAGACAGACAGACAGACAGACAGACAGACAGACAGACAGACAGACAGACAGACAGACAGACAGACAGACAGACAGACAGACAGACAGACAGACAGACAGACAGACAGACAGACAGACAGACAGACAGACAGACAGACAGACAGACAGACAGACAGACAGACAGACAGACAGACAGACAGACAGACAGACAGACAGACAGACAGACAGACAGACAGACAGACAGACAGACAGACAGACAGACAGACAGACAGACAGACAGACAGACAGACAGACAGACAGACAGACAGACAGACAGACAGACAGACAGACAGACAGACAGACAGACAGACAGACAGACAGACAGACAGACAGACAGACAGACAGACAGACAGACAGACAGACAGACAGACAGACAGACAGACAGACAGACAGACAGACAGACAGACAGACAGACAGACAGACAGACAGACAGACAGACAGACAGACAGACAGACAGACAGACAGACAGACAGACAGACAGACAGACAGACAGACAGACAGACAGACAGACAGACAGACAGACAGACAGACAGACAGACAGACAGACAGACAGACAGACAGACAGACAGACAGACAGACAGACAGACAGACAGACAGACAGACAGACAGACAGACAGACAGACAGACAGACAGACAGACAGACAGACAGACAGACAGACAGACAGACAGACAGACAGACAGACAGACAGACAGACAGACAGACAGACAGACAGACAGACAGACAGACAGACAGACAGACAGACAGACAGACAGACAGACAGACAGACAGACAGACAGACAGACAGACAGACAGACAGACAGACAGACAGACAGACAGACAGACAGACAGACAGACAGACAGACAGACAGACAGACAGACAGACAGACAGACAGACAGACAGACAGACAGACAGACAGACAGACAGACAGACAGACAGACAGACAGACAGACAGACAGACAGACAGACAGACAGACAGACAGACAGACAGACAGACAGACAGACAGACAGACAGACAGACAGACAGACAGACAGACAGACAGACAGACAGACAGACAGACAGACAGACAGACAGACAGACAGACCGAAATTCATTTTTATATATATAGAAGATAGAAGATAGAAGATAGACATTGCTTCTGAAAAACAACGGTTTCCGAACACAATGATATTTTTTCGAACCCATTTTTAAATCAAGATTTAAAGCAAAACAATAACTTCACTGTTTAACATTGAACTAACAAATTGACAGCTCGATCCCATACAAAGTCCCACAGATTGGTGCTAAGATGGGGATGTTTGCTAATGTAATCGTTCGTATTTCCTCAGAGGTCTGTGCCATCAGTCGCCAGATGCGATAGTATTTTTATTTTTATTTGATCAAAGATGGTTTTGTGTGCAATGATCTTTGACAACGTTCAAAGTGTTTATCATTTTGTCAATTTTTTCAATGCATTTCAGTTTTGACTAGAGTGAACTAGAGTCAGTGGACAGTAGTCACGTTAAGAAAAAAAAACAATAGAATTCGCATCACTGTTTTCGAAAGACTCCCTTCCCTTTCACTTGGCAACAGAGGAATTATGCATCAACTTCAAATGACTTCTAGCGAGAAAGCAAATTACCGGCAGTAGTAAATCATTATGTCAGTGAAACAAACTCTCATTACTGATCATTTCCAAACGCATCTCATGATAATTTAAAGCTAACTGCGTGTTTATGATCATTTCTTCGACTATATGTTAGTGCAATACCTTTCGTAGAACTTTCAAAACATCGTAATGTTTTTTTAGTCGGTTTGACAGATCAATAGGTAGACTTAGCTGCACTCTTGGCGTGATTCTTATACACCGACTCGACTCTAGAGTGAACGAAATAGAACCAGAAAATTCTGGTACTAGATTTGAAGAAAACGCTAGTACAATCGAGTAGTAATGTTACCATGTGGTACACTGAAAAATTGCAACAGCAGGTTTGTCATCAATGTATTCGAACCGCTCCGTCTGGGACTTAAATTTAGATTGAAGCTTTTACAACTCAAGTACCTATTAAAAATCTAGCTAGTACATTAAGGAAGAAGTGTCCATAACTGTTACTCCAATAAAATAATAAAATGCTTCAAGAATGCCTCAATACCCAGTAGTATGCACATCGATAACTGTACCTAAGCAGTAAACCTTCGTATTATCAATAAAAATTAAAAATAACACGTGATGACAAGAGAAAAACAGATAAGAGGCATCCTGGGGGTGCGACACTATCTAAATTTTAAAATCTCAATGTTAGCGAATCCATCTACGAAAAATCTTGTTTCAACGCTTACATCTAAATCCATCTACTCACATCGCTCTCCAACTATTTGCAGGAAATGTTCAAAATATTCATTAATCTTCTGTCTATCTACTAAGCGGGCGCATATCTCATAACAGCAAAGCGAAAATTTTCCTGCATTTTAGTTACAGCCAGGCGACATCCATTGTACGCCACGCGAAAAATGATCCTCCTCCCCTTTCGCCCCTTCGTCGCGTCTTTTCTACTTGCCACATAATTCTGAGCCTCCCTTCCCCTTTTGCAGCGTGACGAACTAAACGACGACGAATAATCGAACCGGACCATTCAATAAATCTCCAGAAACAGAGAAAACCATTCATCAGTTCGCCGAGTGCTGTTGTCCGTAGCAGTCGATTAAGCAAAATGGATCGATGGGAAGGCAAGGTGGCCGTTGTTACTGGAGCAAGCTCCGGCATCGGTGCAGTTATAGTTAAAGAATTGGCGAAAGCTGGAATGGTAACCATTGGATTGGCTCGTCGAGTGGAACGCATTCAGCAGCTGAAAACCCAACTGTCGGAGGAAGCTGCCGGAAGATTGTACGCAATGAGTTGCGATGTTTCTAAGGAAGACAGCATCAACAGTACATTTGCGGAGATCGTAGATAAATTCGGCGGAGTTGATGTATTGGTTAATAATGCAGGTGTAGTACGAGAAACTGCACTACTCGCAGACGATGGTGCCCAGCCGTTGAAAGACATTCTGGAAATCAATGTGTTGGGATTGACTCTGTGCACTCGTAAAGCGTTCAAATCGATGAAACAGCGCAACGTAGCTGGACATATAGTGCATATAAATAGCATTGCCGGACATAAAGTGCTTAACTTTCCTCATATGAATATGTATTCTGCCAGCAAGTATGCTGTTACGGCCATCACAGAAACGATGAGAAACGAACTGCGTGAGCAAGGGTCCAAAGTCAAAGTTACTGTGAGTCGGAATAATTGATTTTTTTATTGCATGATTTTGAATAATTTGATCTTTCGCTTCGTTTCAGAGCATCAGTCCTGGAGTAGTAAAAACTGAAATCGTTGACGGTCTGGATGATCACAAAGATTTCCCCAAGCTGGAATGCGAGGACATCGCTCACGCTGTATTGTACGTATTGGGTACCCCACCGCATGTTCAGGTTCATGAATTGACCATTAAGCCGGTCGGAGAAGGCTTCTAACAACGTTAATGTGGGTTGAAGGAATTGTAAGAAATAAATATGAAACTATAAATAAAGTCATAATAAAAAATTTAATAGTTTAAAAAATGTTATCACAGAGCACGTGATTATAAGCTGGGATTTTATTCATATTCAAATAAGAAAGTAATGTTAAGCGTTGATTATGCAATCAAATTAATCATTGCCAATAATATTGTATGGTCAAGAGCATACCACAATAGATCAAATTAATGGCCTTAGTAGATTTATGTGAACCCGAAGTTATCCACCTGATCAATCTGACCATTCTTAGTTGATTAATTTTCTACCAAAATTCTCTAATCTGCAGTCAAGACGAGAAGTAAGGAAATTTGAGATTGATACTAATGTGGATCAGGGGGGCCTCATAGCCTAGTGAGTAAAGGCACGGTATTACCAAGACGGAGGCGGCGGGTTTGATTCCCGGTCAGGTCGAGGGAATCTTTCGGGTTGGAAATTTTCTCGACTTCCCTGGGCATAGAGTATGATTGTGCTTTCCACACAATATACAGATTCATGCATTGGTAATTGGCATCGAAAGCTCTCAATTAATAACTGAGGAAGTGTATTTAGAACACTAAGTTGAGAGCACGCAATAAGCTAATATGCACTAAACAATAAGCTTGAAATGCGAATAAGAAGAAGAAGAAAGACTAATGTGGATCTGGTTACCCAATATTAAATAATGTAATTTCATGTGTCCCGAGATGGGTTTATCCATAAATTACATAGCAAGTTTTTGAGAGCTTCCACTCTTTTCCAAATCAGTAAAGAAGTCTCCCCTAAACTGTCTACATAGTTTACGGATATCCCCTAATGAACAGCTACCATGCAAAGTGCTTAACGACCTGTTCTGAGCATCATCCAGAAAACTAACTTGTGGAAAGCTTTTGCCATTCGAGTTACCAGCCTTTAATCTTCAATACTTCCCCTGGGGCTGCCGGAACCTGTTAATATGACTGCCAATGCTTTTCTCAAAACCTGATGTGATTTGAAGTGTGGTGTGCTGCATTTTGGGTCATGTTTAATCATATCCACTTCTCCGGGAACACCTGGAACATGTTTGGGTGTATCCGATGAGGTCCTACCAACCGGTGGAAACTAACGATTTAGAATTGGCTCACTACTTGACTAGCTTATTGGTCCCACGTAAATCTATAAGCGGACCCCGTTCTAGTCGAAATTCTAGTACTACACTATGTTTGTTTTGATTCGCTATGAAAGTTTTACAGATAAAATGAGGGGTTCACGGATTTTCTTATGTTTCGAGGGGTGCATCGAATAGCTTGGGACCGAAGATAGTACCAGAGCTGATCCAAAAAGTTGAGCACGTTTCTTCGGGACCGTCTGGTCTTAAAGGGTGATACGGTCAAAATTTGGTCAATATCAACTTGACGTATTTCTTTTAATTTTGCATTTAAAAAACCTGAACACCCCTCATTTTGAAGGTGTGTGTGTAGAATGTTGCTCCTATTTTGATTTTGGAATTCACTCTTCAGTTGTCAAAATGCCGTCCAAGCAAGAAGAGCAGCGTATCAAAATTTTGCTCGCGCATCGCGAAAATCCGAGCTACTCGCACGCAAAGTTGGCAAAGTCGCTAAAAGTTGCCAAATCAACCGTTACAAATGTAATTAAAGTGTTTGGGGAACGTTTGTCGACAGCCAGGAAGTCTGGATCGGGGGGAAATCGAAAACCGGAAGCCGCTGAGACGACAAAGAGAGTTGCCGGTAGTTTCAAGCGAAACCCTAACCTCTCTCTCCGGGATGCCGCAAATAAGCTGGGTGTATCGTCTACAACCGTGCATCGAGCCAAAAAACGAGCCGGGCTATCGACTTACAAGAAGGTAGTGACTCCAAATCGCGATGATAAACAAAATACGACGGCCAAACCGCGATCCCGGAGGCTGTACACGACGATGCTGACGAAGTTTGACTGCGTGGTAATGGACGACGAAACCTACGTCAAAGCCGACTACAAGCAGCTTCCGGGACAGGAGTTTTATACGGCAAAAGGAAGGGGAAAGGTAGCAGATGTTTTCAAGCACATGAAACTGTCAAAGTTCGCAAAGAAATATCTGGTTTGGCAAGCCATCTGTACCTGTGGCTTGAAAAGCAGCATTTTCATAGCTTCCGGGACTGTCAACCAAGAAATTTACGTGAAAGAGTGTTTGAATAAACGTCTGCTGCCTTTCCTGAAGAAACACGGTTGTTCCGTACTGTTTTGGCCGGATTTGGCATCTTGCCATTACGGTAAAAATGCCATGGAGTGGTACGCCGCCAACAACGTGCAGGTGGTTCCCAAGGACAAGAACCCTCCCAACACGCCAGAGCTCCGCCCAATTGAGAAATACTGGGCTATTGTCAAGCGGAACCTAAAGAAGACCAAAAAACTGCTAAGGGCGAGCAGCAGTTCAAGGTAAACTGGCTTTCTGCGGCGAAGAAGGTGGACAAGGTGGCTGTACAAAATCTGATGGCAGGGGTCAAGCGTAAGGCCCGGCAATTCGGATTTGGAAAAGCGGAAGCCTAACTGAATATTTTTCCTGAATTTTATACTAATTGAACTTGAAAAAGAAATTTAATTTGATTTTTTAAATAAACGATTTCACCGATTTACACGCGTTTTCCCTTGACCAAATTTTGACCGTATCACCCTTTAGAGTTACCTCTATGGTTCTACTGTTTTGCCTGACTCATAACAAATTGTATGCGAGGGGGAACTGAACTCGTCTAATTTTGCATTGCAGATGCTATATTAAATTAGACGAGGCATACATTGTATCCGACATCATTGGACGGAGACCGATGATCATCAAAGGAGATTTCAGCGGCTCCATACAGATACAGATACGGCATAAGAGATAGAGATTTGATTTATTGACAAAAGTTGTAGCTAATATCAAAACCTACAAAAGCTTCATACATTATTTCACGAAATTCTGTTGATGAAAAAAGTTAGAGCCAAATGAATATAAATGAATGAACGAAATTAATGTAAATGATTTGCCATGCCTGGAAATCATGCTGAGCATGAGCATGAACATGATTGACCGCCCAGTGTTTCTACTTCATTATTGCCAGATCACCTGCAATTACAATGGGACGAGCACTCATCCTCAATGTGTAAACATACGTTCTACTTCTTCTTCTTCTTCTTATTCTTCTTCTTATTATTATTATTATTCTTCTTTTTCTTCTTCTTCTTTCTTTTCTTCGCGTTTCAAGCTTATTGCTTATCTCATACTAGGTTATTGCGTTCTTTAAACTTAGTGTTCTAGATGCGCTTTTACAGTTATTAATTGAGAGGCTTCGATGCCTGTATCATTTTTGCATTAGTATAATTGTGTGGCAAGTACAGTCATACCATAGAGGTAACTCTAAGACTAGTAGGTCCCGAAAAAACGTGCTCAACTTTTTGGCTCAGCTTTGGTACTATTTTCGGTCCCAACCTAATCGATGCACCCCTCTAAACATAGGAAAATCCACGAACCCCTCATTTTATCTGTCAAACTTTCATAGCGAATCAAAACAAACATTGTGTAGTACTGGAATTTTGACTAGAATGGGGTTCGTTAATCGATTTTCTTGGGATCAATAGGCTAGTCAAGTAGTGAGCCAATGTAAAATCGTTAGTTTCCACCGGTTGGTCATACTCTATGCCCAGGGAAGTCGAGAAAATTTCCAACCCGAAAAATTCCTAGACCGGACCGTGAATCGAACCCAGCCACCTCCAGCCAGGCTTGCTTCCACTCACTTGCTATAAAAAAACATATTTTTGGAATTTTGAATTCATTAGATGTTATAATGATAGCTTGTACTTGATAGATACAAGAAGACGTTGAAAGGCAAGTGTTTGACACCTGTCAAATTCGCTTTCAGATAGTCACAATTAGCGATTTTACGACTCGCGAGCGCTCACTCTGAGTGAACGCTCATGAATCATAAAATCGCTTAGTGTGACACTCTGAAAGCGAAATTGACATGTTTCATATGTCAAACACATACTTTGCAACTTCTGATTTTAACTTTCAAGTACAAAATATCATAATAACATCTAACGATTTTATAATTCTGAAATATTTTTTATAGCAAGTGAGTGGAACCATCCCTGCCTCCAGCATTGTCTTGCTTTGTAGCTGCGCCTTTTCCGACTGAGCTAAGGGACGCCCCAATCTCATACTTTACAATATCCAATACCAGTGCCGGCCGCGTCCGAATGCTGGTCAATTAGGGAGTGGTTAGAAACGCTTTGATGGAAGCCGAGAAATCTCTGCACATCCTCGAGAATTCACTGAAGTGTTGGATTAAAGAATTGGGCTTGCAGCCGGGTTCGTTTTGGTATACGATATGCTGAACGGAATCGACGTGTTCATGTTCAGAAATACAGCGATACAACATTAATGACTCTATAAGCGGCGCCGGTTGTGTAGTGGTCCCCAGCAGGCCTGGGTTCAATCAATTATATAATTAAAATAATAATAACAAAGGAATACAGAGTAAGTGGTATGGTTATTGAACATGTGTCCAGAATATCAGGTAGAGGTCACTGGCTACTAGTAAAATTGATAGAATATTCACAGAATCGGTATCTACGCCTAAACTTGAGTTATTTGCGATTTCCCGGTAATAATAATGCATAATCAAACAGTGGCCAAGTTCACACAATCTTATAAGCGACACTAATGGATAGAGAAATAATATCAATGTAAAAAGTAACAAATGACAAAGATCGTACGAGAAAAAAGGTTATTGGTCGGCGCGTATACCACCCAGCCCCCAATGAGGTGATCGCCTGTCTGGGAAAGTCTGAATCGTATGACTAGCAAAATTATTACGTGCACGTATTATCACCTTCGCTCGTATGATCGGGGTTATTCGATCTGGCATGTCCCAGACAAATGTCTGAGCATAAGGGTCGTTCAAAAAAAAAATATTAAATGTTAGCTCACACCCCACTATAAACTTTTATTGGATGAAATAAGTGTTGCCTCTGAAAATGGATATGGATATTACTATAACATATAGAAAGTTTTCTTTATTGAATTCTGCTAGTAACTTATACTCGGTAAAACCATGCACGGTGTGTGATTTGTCTCGTGGATTTTGTTAATTCCTCAAGTAGCTTTGCAAGCTAAATAGAGGTTTTATAGCATTATACAAGTCTAAATCATGCCCTACAGATCCCTCATAAACCCAAAATTGTTACTTGGGCAACTTTGTTTGGGTATATACAATTGGCTTGCTGACTTCAGTAAACATGTTTGAGACACTTTTGAGTTTGTGTGTACGGAAATTGATCACTCTTCGAATTCTAAATTGTAACTATTGATAACCAAAAGTGACAATAATCAACTTGGCTGATATTTGGAGGCAACACAAAATTTGAACAACCCTAGTGTGCTTAAATCGTTTAGCATACAGCCCAATTTGATTGATTGTCTGAAGACGCAATGCCGGCATAACCGGAACTATAGCATTATTTTTTATTATTAAATTCAACGGACAGCAGTACAGCATTCTCTTATTATCAGTGGTTTAGAACTCAATTGTTATTTATAAGCTTGCTCAGTATAACGTTTACCGTCAAACAGAACACAACATGGACCGTTGGCAAGGCAAAGTGGCTATAGTAACTGGTGCGAGCTCCGGTATCGGCGCTGCAACGGTTAAGGAACTGGTCAAGGCGGGGATGGTAGTCGTTGGATTGGCCAGGAGAGTTGAGCAGATCCAAGCACTGAAAGCTGATCTCCCCAAGGAAGTTGCATCTAATTTGTATGCCTTTAAATGTGACATCGCGAAAGAAGACGATATTCTGAAGGCCTTCAAATTTGTCGAGGAGAAATTCGGTGGAATGGACGTCCTAGTGAATAATGCCGGTGCGTATGAGAATGTTGATTTGTTGGTGGCCGGCAACACTAGCGCCTTACGGCAGTCATTGGATGTGAATGTGCTGGGACTGGCCCTGTGTAGCCGGGAGGCATTTATATCAATGAAGAAAAGAGCTGCTGATGGACACATTATTCATATTAATAGCATCGAAGGTCACAAAGTCCCGTGCTACCCGGGTGCCAACCTGTACCCGGCGAGCAAGCATGCAGTGACAGCTATTACCGAAACGATGCGGAATGAGATGAGAAATGCTGGCACCAAAATTAAAGTTACGGTAAGTTATAGCCTTGGTTTGACTAAATGAAGTCCATTGATATACCGATATATTCATTTTTAGAGCATCAGTCCCGGACTGGTGAAAACTCCTATGATGGATCTTTGCGATGAGTATGGAAGCCACGATACCAGTACGATGCCAATGCTTCACCCGATAGACATTGCTCAAGGTATTCTTTATGCACTGGGTACGCCGCCTCATGTGCAGGTCCATGAATTGACCATAAAAGCTGTTGGAGAACCGGTTTAGGAGATATTTTCATACGAAAATGTTGAAAGCAGAATATAACATAATAGTGGTATTCACAAAGCGTAAAGATATACGCCCTCGTTAATGAGTAAACTTCCATTACACTTGAATGGACCCTGATATTTTAACAACAGTGTACATTAGACGATGCAAAATTTGAAATTTTCGCTCCACAGTGCAATATGAAAAAAAGCTAGAGGACAATGAACAAAAAGTTTGGTTTTCCCATGGTAATTTCCATATAAACATCTAATGGTTTGTGCCCAGCCAGTTTGTTTATCAAATGAGTTCACATTTTGCGAGGGTAATCAGGACGCAATTTGGCACCGTTTAAGTGAAAATTTCAAATTTTGTATTAGCCTAGTGTGCATGCTTACGATGCGCATAGTGAATACCTCTAATGTGAATGTCGATGACAATATGCATATTCTTAACCGTAATATTGGTAGATAAGCAACACAATTATTTCACCTCGTTAATGAATAAAATAATCTTCTTAATAAGACTATCCGTTGAGTTATTTAAGTGTTATTTCCGAAAAAATCGAGGCAATCGAATTTTTGTCGAGTGGTGAATTTATCTTTAACGGTGAGAATACTGCAACACTGCACGAGAGCGATTGTTGAGCGCTACAGACAGGTGCGGGACTCGATTTTTCGGAGGAAGAAATGGCAACAGGAAGACCGAAATTGCGGAGCGATAAAACAGTTGTACCGCGTTAACGACACACGAAAGCTCTACAAGAAGCTCGCCCAAAAGGCTACCTTTATAACGGTTATAGGTAGGTATATAGCAGAAAATGAAAGTGGCACGGTAACAGATCAAGGAGCACGCGCAGATGACGCACAGGCCGCAGTCCTCCAAGTAATCGAGGAAGTGATCGATGGGTTGAAACACAATTAAACCGCTGAGATTTTACTAGCGAAGTGGATGGTGTGTCAGATCTACAAAATTGGATTGCTACCGTTACCACGCTATCACGTCATTGACCACCACCTATCTCCAAAATGCTATGCTAACGTCTATCACCAACAGCAATCAAGAGAGTTAAGCGCTGTCCAGACTGAGCTGTATAACAAGTTATAACGGTTGTCAAATAATTGCAACACAGAAACCACCATCAAGATAGCGCTATAACATGTTATAACCATAGAGGTAACTCTTCTTCTTTCTTCTTCTTTCCTTTATTTAACGTCGGTCTAGTGCCAATTAAAGAGCCTAAATTTATAAAGAAGCGACATGTCAAAATTGGAACAATCGATTGTCTGTCAAAGTCATAGGAAAAGTCATTCCAATCGAGCAGAAGACCTGTCAAATGGATAAGATGTCGTCTCTTTATAAATTCAGGCTCTTTAGTGCCAATCACCGACGGACATCGATTGCCATCCATTGACGGCAATCGAATGTGCAGGAAGGCAGCTTCCACACCTGCGTAGGATATCGCACCCATTCAAACACACATGGGCCGGGACCAACGGCTTTACTTCCCTTCCGAAGGAAGACGTGACCAGAGATTTTTATGCCTCAGAAAAATCCCACTGACCTCGGCTGGAATTGAACCCAGACCCATTGGGGTGCTAGAAAGCAGTCACGCTTACCACTACACCACCGGCGCCGGCCATAGAGGTAACTCTAAGGCTAGAAGGTCCCGGAGAAACGTGCTCAACTTTTTGGCTCAGCTCTGGTACTATCTTCGGTCCCAAGCTAATCTATGCACCCCTCGAAACATAGGAAAATCCACGAGCCACTAATTTTATCTGTCAAACTTTCATAGCGCATCAAAACAAACATAGTAGTTGAATTTTGACTAGAATGGGGTACGTTAATCGATTTGCTTGGGACCAATAGGCTAGTCAAGAGTTGAGCCAATTTTAAATCGTTAGTTTCCAACCGGTGGTAATACCATAGAGGTAACTCTAAGACCACTGGGTCCCGAAGAAAATCATTATTATTTTTGGCTCACTCAGTACCAGAACAACGGTCCCAAGCAGTCCCAAGCTATTTCACTCATCCCTGCATGTTCTGCATGAATCCACACACCCCTGATGTTATCTGTCAAACTTTCATAGCGAATCAAAACAAACATAGTGTAGTAATAGAATTTCAACTAGAATAGGGTACGTTAATCGTTTGCTTGGGACCAATAGGCTACTAAAGTGGTGAGCCAATTTAAAATCGTTAGTTTCGTAGTTGAAGATGCTAATTTCAAATAACAGACTGTAGTGGTAATTTTTATACGATAGATGGAGTAGATGAAAGCATAGAGTTGATAGTTCCGTTAGAGTACGGCAGTGTGAAGATTGTATATAGATATTAGAATAGCGAACTAGGACAACTTTTAAGGAAGGTACAAATCGGTTTTTTCATCTCTCTTTACCAAACTCCCCCTTTGGAGAGGGATGGTGAGGGGTGTCGCCCTCCCCCTCCGGCCACCACTGGCAAAAAGAGATGAAAACCGACCCGTTCAAGTACCAACTGTGTGTTTGAAACAGTAAAAATCGGTACATAACTCTGGATGGGAGCATACCATCAATTACTGTCAATGGTCGAAAGGTACAGTAGCAACACCTACCCCACCCGTGTCCCTTCGAGATCGTCAAGTCGACGATGACAGGAGCACATATCGTGGTAGGGGTAAACAATAGTTACAATTTCCAAACCTACGACTGGATGCCTTCCTTCAAATAACAATTGAAGTTCGGTAAAAATCGGTAGAACTGTTTCAAACACACAGTTGGTAGTTGAACGGGTCGGTTTTCATCTCTTTTTGCCAGTGGTGGCGGGGGGGGGGACACCCCTCACCATCCCTCTCCAAAGGGGGAGTTTGGTAAAGAGAGATGAAAAAACCGATTTGTACCTTCCTTAAAAGTTGTCCTAGTTCGCTATTCTAATATCTATATACAATCTTCACACTGCCGTACTCTAACGGAACTATCAACTCTATGCTTTCATCTACTCCATCTATCATTTTCATTTTCATTTTGCAGCGTTTGGTGGGGCAATGGGAGCGCAAGTCAATCCAAAGCCGAGGATAAAGGACGGGTAATGGCTGAATAGTCTATGCGGACCACTTGAACACCATGGGAAAAGGAAGGGATTGAAGAGACCGGTTTTTGGGGGGTTTTGAGGAAATGACACATAGTGATGCTAAATGTAAAGAAACCGAAAATCCATCTCCCACTGATTCATCCTTTCACATATATACCAAATTGATATTTTTTTTTATTTTTTTTTATTGGGTATCAAGCTGGAGCTGCGTGACAGCTTAGTTTTCAAGACTTGACCCATTTGAATAAATTTTGCTTCTATCTTTGACAATACAGCAGAAGCACTAGCCTATGTTGGCCGCTTGAACACTGGATTCCGTATGTATTGTTTCAAGATAGTTATAGAAAAAATGCTGTGACGTGTGCGCGTAGATACATCCGCGTAGTAAACCGATTGAATAAGTAAATCCGTTTCGAACGAAATATCTAAATTATGTAAATTACGAAAACCGCGCGAATTCCGAAAGCCGTGCGACAACCGAAGCGAGAAAAAAGGCTTATTATCACTTAAAGAGTGCCACCAAAATAAATGTGATAGCCTATGTTGGCAAGTTGATTAATTTTGGTTTCCTCCCTAGATATTCTACTTACTTACTGCTGAGCTTTGTATCAAATTAGTTAATTTAAAGAACGTATCAATTATTTCAAGATTTCGCGACCGCACCGAACAAATTCTATGAGCTCAAAAGCGTTTGACAAACTTTACCGAATTGCGTATCACTTCTGCGTAAGCTCCGTAGACGTAGGCGCGTTGAATCCGACAGTCGGCAAAGGTTTAACCTGTACCAACACCGCTTAAGGAACGACCTCAAGTCAGTGAAACCGTTTATAGCTAAACATCTAAATTACGTAAGATACGAAAATCGCGCAAATTGTAAACGCCACGCGAAACAACCGTAGAGAAAAAAAAACAACTTATTATCACTTAAAGAGTGCCACCAAAATAAATGTGATAGCCTATGTTGGCAAGTTGATTAATTTTGGTTTCCTCCCTAAATATTCTACTTATTTTACTGTTGAGCTTTGTTTCAATTTAGTTATTTTACCGCACGTATCAATCATTTCAAGATTTCGCGACCGTAACGAACAAATTCTATACTACAGAAGCTCAAAAAAACTTTTGGTGAGCTCTACCGCATTTGCGAATCACTTCTGCGTAAGCTCCGTAGACGTAGGCGCGTTGATTCCGACAGCCGCGAAAAGTTAAACATGCATCAATACCACATAAGGAAAGATCGATTTTACGTATGGTTTAGTTCATAGATTAGCATTGACTGCTGTTTACAAATGTAAGTACTTGAACACTAAGAAATAAGTTAACTCAAATGCTTTAACCGCATATATAAGGGGAATACAATACCTCCAAAAGTTTAAAAGCTATTAATTGTCACATACCTTTACTTTTACTTATTTCCTAAACTATTCCTCTCCTTGTTAATCTGCTTAATAGTATTGGTCTGCCTGCGTTTTCTTGTTAATGTTCAAACCTAAATAAGAAGATTTATTCTACAACTTTAAAGGTTAGTTGCCTCCTAAGCGGACCCCCCGCATCCTAATTCTTTTGTTAATCTACTTAATGTCATTAGACTTTCTGAAGTTTCTTATTTAAGTTCATTTGATGATTATGATATCTCATTAGTCTAATTTAATAAATTATTAAAAGCTCTAATTCACCTAATCAATCATAACCCATGCTTTATAAAGTACCTGCACTTGTGCTTGTAATCTAAAATTAAACGTGTTTCAAGTACTTTTGATTTAAGCCTATACCTATTTATTATATCTTAGTTCGACCCAGGTAACACCTTCATGTGACTAAAATGCTTCATTTTGAAGTTAGTTTCCTAGCTGATATTTACATTATATAGGGTATATGTTCCAATTACGCTCTCACGTTTCCACTATGTCGCACCACAAAAATACATATGGGTATGTCACAATAGAAGCACACCACAGTGGAAATCCCGAGCCATAGTTCAAACACTTATCCCAAATCAAAATGAAGCACATATAAGATTATTTACAATACCATGTCCAAAATGGTGTTTAACATTGTTCCCTGAGTAATACCTCAATGAAAACAACAATGAAAGCTTGTCACGCAAATAGAAGGAGTGCGATGGGCACTTTCTGAAATACTTCAATAGTATAATTCCCTTGCAAACCCAAATAAATCTATCGTAAAAAATAAATAAAATAAGAGTGATTTGCGGCAAAACCCGCCAGTATCACACCCAACGTCAGTGCCTATACGTAAGCGTACTACGACGCGGCTCTCAATAAAAGGAGTAACAAGTGTGATACTATCACTGCTAAACTAGATCTTTGGTTCTCTCATGCAGTGGTTTATCAGAGAGGGGAAGCTTAGTAATCCCCATTGCCTGCTCATGGCGCCATTCTATCGCGGCATGAGCCAGCAACGCTGACCATAAACCTACCGTCTCCAACACTCCACTAGCATGAAATTAAGCCCGCCCACCAACAGCAAGGTGCAAAAACTAGCCAAGGGGAGGGGCTTTCATCTACTCCATCTATCGTATAAAAATTACCACTACAGTCTGTTATTTTAAATTAGCATCTTCAACTATGTAAATCGTTGACTTCACGTAGAAGTAATACTAAAAACATATAGTTTATATATATAGAAGTAATACTAAAAAGTTAGTTTCGTATTGATTGTTGGTAATACCATAGAGGTAACTCTAAGACCAGAAGTTCCCTAAGAAACGTGCTAAACTTTTTGGCTGATTGTATGAATGTTATCCACTACGCCGGGGCCGTCGCTACCGGCAATCCTCTACCGTCTACTACCAACAATCAATATGAAACTGTCGATTTTAAATTGGCTCACTACTTGACTAGCCTATTGGTCCCAAGTAAATCTATAAGCGCCCCCCTTTCTAGTAGAAATTCTAGTACTACACTATGTTTGTTTTGACTCGCTATGAAAGTTTTACAGATAAAATGAGGGGTTCGTGGATTTTCCTATGTTTCGAGGGGAACATCGATTAGCTTGGGACCGAAGATAGTACCAGAGTTGAGCCAAAAAGTTGAACACGTTTCTTCGGGACCTTCTAGTCTTAGAGTTACCTCTATGCTACTACTAGACTTTTTTACGCTTCTTTTGCGAGCGTTTTGCCGACTCTCAACATAGCGTTCTAGATGCACTTCCACAGTTATTCATTGAGAGCTTTATGCAACCAATGCATGAATCTGTATATTGTGTGGCAAGAATGATGATACTCTATGCCCAGGGAAGTCGAGAAAATGTTTAACCCGAAAGATTTTCTTGATAGAACCGGGAATTGAACCCACCGCCACTGCAGTGTTTGGTAATACCAACAATCAATACGAAACTAACGATTTTAAATTGGCTCACCACTTTAGTAGCCTATTGGTCCCAAGCAAACGATTAACGTACCCTATTCTAGTTGAAATTCTAGTACTACGCAATGTTTGTTTTGATTCGCTATGAAAGTTTGACAGATAAAATGAGAGGTTATTGGTTTTTCCTATGTTTCGAGGGGTGAATCGATTAGCTTGGGACCGAAGAGAGTACCAGAGCTGAGCCAAAAAGTTGAGCACGTTATTTCGGGACCTTCTAGTCTTAGAGTTACCTCTATGGTAATACCAACCGGTGGAAAATAACGATTTAAAATTGGCTCACTACTTGACTAGCCTATTGGTCCCAAGCTAATCGATTAACGTACCCCATTCTAGTCGACATGCTAGTACTACTTTATGTTTATTTTGATTCGCTATGAAAGTTTGACAGATAAAATTAGGGGCTCGTGGATTTTCCTATGTTCCGAGGGGTGCATCGATTTGCTTGGGACCGAAGATAGTACCAGAGCTAATCCAAAAAGTTGACAACGTTTCTTCGGGACCTCCTGGTCTTAAAGTTACCTCTATGGTAATACCATAGAGGTAACTCTAAGACTAGAAGGTCCCGAAATAACGT